AAAATATTCATCAGAAGAAATTGAAGTAAAACTAAAAGATGTGGTAAGAAAATATTTATTTTTTAGATCGTAGTATTTTATATAATTTTTTTTTTGTTTTAATTTAGTTATTATTATTAAAATATGTTCAAAATAAAGATGTATTTATGCGATTTTATAAAGGAGCTCTTACACGTCGTCTGATTTTGGATACGTCTATTGATAATGAACTTGAAGAAAGCATTGTTATTCAATTAAGAGTAAGATATATATTTCAAAATCATAGTTTTTCCAGTCATTCTAGTTGTTTAATTTCGTGTATTAAGTTAAGATTTCTGTTAATTTTAATTGCACAGTGTTGTTCATATGTTACATGATTAATTTTAATCTTTTGTCTTAATTTAAACAACAAAGATAATATATGAACTTGAATTTCCTATTAAAAGATACAGACTTCAATTCTCTATCAATCCCTGTTAGTTATAATTTAAAATGATAGAAGAAAAAAATTTTCTTGTCTGTGTTATTTGATTTAATGAATGGAATGTACTTTATTTACATGCTTGTAATGTACTTTTAAAGTTCTAAGCAGACACATAAGAGGATTGGAGATGGTAATCAAACTCCATGTCAAAGACACTATCAGAATTATCTGTAAGTGTTTGATAGGAATAATCTTTCTGAGAGTCTATTACAAAAGACAGCCTTTTTTTAAATAGTATCCGAACTTTAGTCAGATGGATTCATATTGTAAAGTGTTATTTTTGGCTTCAAGTAAAAAGAAAAAGTAATTTTCCATGAAATCCTACAAAAAACAAAAAAAAATTTTTTTTCAGTCATAATCCTATATCTAGAACACTTGTTTTGAAAATAAGTAACTGAATAGAGAAGATGTCGGCTTTCCCAGAATATGTCTTGGTGACTAATCAAAAAAAGTACGTTTTGAAAAAACAAACATCGTATTATACATGATTGATTGATCCTTTCCATTACTAACTAAAAATTATGTACGAAATTAGTGTCAGTCGTTGAATCACATAATGCAGCCTAAAAATATTTTTTATTCTATCAGAAGTTTGTAGAAAATCAGATTCTGCATCTGATGACACAAAAATTACATTCATGTATTTCTCTGATCGATTGTTTCGCAAAAAAGAGGAATGCTGCACAACTTTTTTCAATATCTGATAATGAACTTGTGAAGAATACTAAGCTTATGAACTATAGACGTCAAAATTTCGTTAGAAGCACCTATGAAGACGACAATGGTACAAAATTTTAGATCTGCCGTGTTGTCAATGATTGATCCGGTTCTATTTCAAAATTAAAAACACTACCTGTATCAATAGTCAGGTTTTCATATTTATATATTGAATAGAAAAAAAAGAGATGTGTACATAATATTAAGTAAAATGAAAAATATATGAGAAAAGCTTGAACAAAGTTAAGTAGAAGCAATAAGTTTAGAAACGCAGTATTTTTGACTTTTTTTTCCTTAACGGTAATAGCGAGAATAAATCAGACAGAAAATTTAAGTAGTTGAAACAATTTCCTATGAGGAGGGTTATCTATCAAGTACTCATTAACAGATTTGGGTTAAAGAGCTCTAGAAATTCAAGGCTTGCAAAATCAGTTTTCTTGATTCTATCAAAAGCATTTTGCAATCAAATTCATCTAATAGAGAAAACATTTCTGAACAAAACAAGAAATCGTCGAACTCTTCGCAACCTATCTTCAGCAAACTGCACTCATTCTACTGAAGCTAGATCGTGAAGGTCTCGGGGGACATTGTATTTTGTTCAGAAATGTTTGTTTCTATCAGATGAACTTGTGTGCAAAATACTTTTAATAGGATCTAGAAAGCTAGTTTTGGGGGGTCTGGATTTTTTAGATATATTTCATCTCAACTTGTTAATGGGATTTTGATGGTGAGTTCTCCTGATAGGAAATTGTTTCAACTGATCAAATCTTCTGTCTGATTTGTTCTAGATATTACCGTTAAGGAAAAAGTCAAAAGGACTTCGTTTCTAAACTTTTTATCTTCACGTTAGCTTTTAGTATAGTAAAGAAAATATTCATACAGGTGTAACAAACCATTTTGATGACGTTCTTAATTCTAATGAAACTAGTTGTAGTCAACACAAAAAAAAACTGGAGTCAAACGATGCCTTCTCATTCTTTACTGCATACATGCTTGAATAATATCAATTCAAAATAGATAGCATGATTTTAATTTTTGTTTTAGCTTTTTTTTACTTTCGTAATATTCTTTTATTTAATAATCTCTTTTCTTCATTAAATATATCTCAATAAATCTTAATATTTTGTCTACAGGATGTTGGTATGCCAGCTGAGTTTATTATAAAATTACAACAAATGTTTAAAGATCTTAAATTAAATCGTGATATGAATGAAGAATTTCGAACTGTATGTCCATCATCACGTAATAATAATACAATGATGGGTAATTATACATAATACTTTTTTTTTGTTGTTGTTTTGAAATCTATATCGTAAATTATTTTTTTATTTAGATTCATTTTCATTTAAAATTCTAAGTGCTGCTGCATGGCCACATCCAGGTGATAAGATTGATGTATCATTACCAGCACAGATTGAAGATGTTCTACCAGAAATTGAAGAATTCTATAAGAAAAAACATTCAGGAAGAAAATTAACGTGGTATCATACAGTATCAAATGGACAGGTAATGAATGGAAAAAAAAAACAAAATTCAATGTAAAAGAATTTTTTTTTCTTATATTTAGTTAACATTTACTTCTAAAAATGGCAGATACGATTTAGATGTATCAACATTACAAGCATCGGTACTTTTTTCATGGAATCATCGACCAACAAATAAATTAACATTTAGTGAACTTAAATTAGCAACGAATATACCAGAAATTGAATTAAAAAAAACTCTATGGTCATTAATATCATTTGCAAAATTAAAACAACAATTAATATGTTATGAACCGCATGTTGAATCATATCAAGATCTTAATGAAATAAGTTTATTTTGGATAAATTATGATTTTACAATAATACGTGCTGGTAAAATACAAACACGTGGTCATATTAATATGATACAACGTCTTCAATTAAATACAGAAAAAGGACGTGAAGAAGAAAATGAAGAAATTATGTTTTTACGTGGTGAACGGACAAAAGAAGCTATTGTTAAAATAATGAAAACACGACAACGTATGAATAATGCTCAATTACAAACAGAATTAATTGAAATACTTAAAAATATGTTTGTACCATCAAAAAAATTAATTAAAGAAATGATTGAATGGTTAATTGATCATCGATATATGGCAAGATCAGAAACAAATATATCAGAATATGTTTATGTAGCTTGAATAAATATTTTCATGCACCGTATAATCTTTCGTGAATCATTTTTAGGCAAATATTTTCTTTTTTCTTAATGTTAACTGTGATAATCTGACTTTTTTTTGGTTTTCTGATAGAGTCTCTTGCTCTTTTATCTATTACATCTTTCTTTCTTTTTTTTTTCTCATTCCCGGTTCTGAAATCTCTGTATGTGCGCATATAACAGCATGAAGAATCATCACTTTCTTGTCTTATATATATATATATTTCTTCTTGTATGTGACTTAACAATTGGTAAAATAAAAAACACACAGATTTATGTCATCATGATCACTGAAATATATATGTATACATTTTGTTAAAGAACGAATAATGCTCGTCATTACAACTTGCTTAACCCTCGACTGAATATTCAACTGTTTCTGTATAATTTATTGTTTTGCAAGTCCAATCGAGACTAATATCAAATGTATCCATGCAGTTGAGTGCATTGTTCTCATCAAATTTACCACCTTGTACGAATCCATAGGTTGGTTTGAAATCGATGCGATCTAATCTATGAATCCATGAATCTAATACCTAAGGAATGCTCTATCTTTACCCATCCATCCGACTATGCGTCAGATGTGCATTATAACTCACTGAGTGAAAAACACCAGACTGGTGGCATCTCGGATTCAAACCACAATTATATGGTATAAGTACTTTCAATGATAATCTTACTTATTCATGTGTTCAGTTATACGCAGAGTTCATTTGTCTGAAATCAAACTCATCAATCTGCTATTCAACATCCACGATGAATCTTATCGCGTCGTTCTACTTGATTGTATGGAGTCGACAAAGATTTGAAGCAGAATAAAAAGCTTGTTTCATCATGTGAAATCAAGCTCATTCAAAAGACGCTTGTTTGTAGTAATACTTATTGTGCATTCTACTAGCCATGTGTTGCTCTTCGCCGAAACATGCTTCGTCGAAAGTACTTTTTGGCCACGGAGGGCGTTCCAAAGGTGAGGGTGAGGGCAAAATGAGTTGATTTCTTCATGCTGAAAAAGTCTATATAAGAATTAAAGGGCTCGCAACAGCCTAGAGCGTCCTACAAGTCTTTCAAGAAAATGCTTTTCGGCGAAGAGGGTTACAACCGTCTAGGCAAAATTTGGAATTTTTGACTGGAGAGGAAGCCTTAACACATCAATATCCTTCCAAATAAAAATATCTTAGTTCAAGGAATTTTTTTTGTAAACTCGATGAATATTTTGATTCGAGCATTTTTTTCTCTGGAAAAGCTCTTACTTGTATATTTATTAGTTTTATAATATGGTGGAAAATTTATTTCAGTAATATATGACTCGATTAAGTAGTTATAAAATATGGAAATAAAACTTTGAGTAATTTTTCAAGTAAGACTCCATGACAATTCTATCTCTCGCCATTGGATTGCCTAGATTTTATGTACAAACCTTCAGTTAAAGTCATGTGCGTTTCAAATTTGTTATCATTTAATTTTATTAGGTATTGTTTGGCGATATCTGGAAAATAGTTCATGTTCGTTTAGTCTTTGGTTTGCTAAATGCAAATGAAACAAAGCACAAGCATGACTAAACAGTTTTCTTATAGCACAATTGAGCGCAAAAAAAAGATCAAAATGACAAATAGCAGGCACTTTATTGTTATTTTTTTTATTGAACACCTCCATCCGTTGACAATAATGAACTACTTGATGACGATGATGACGAGGAAGAATCTGTTGAAGAACTACGCCTTTTTTCTTCACCATTAGACGTACTAATAAAAAGAAAACAAGAAAAAAAAATCAAACATATTTATATGAATAAATTTATAATATCTAACCATTTTTCTTGTAGATAATTTTCATTTGTAACAAATAACTCTTCAATCGGAATAACACTTTCTGCTGTTTTTAATTCTTGATCAACAAGTTTAATTAAAACTCTACAAAAATCATGACCAATCATTTGTAATATTGACATTTGTACTTGTAAACCCTAAAATCATATTTTTATTTTTGATTTAATTTTTGGAAAAAATAAAAAGTCGTTTTCATTAAAATACAAACTTTATATAATCCAATATCAAAACCACTATACGTTGCTTCCATTGTATAAGCAAAATCAATTTTAAATTCATCCCAAACAACAATACGAGCACAGCCTTCTTTTTGTTTTCGCATTGTAAATAAACAACTTTGTAATGCAAAACCTTGTATATCCGTAAATAGTTTTGGAAAATATTTTGTCATCGTTGAACGTCCATAAGCTGGACCAAGAAAATGAACACGAGGATCATTACCATAGAAGAAAAAATTTTTCTGTCGTGAATGTCCATGAAAATCACAAAAAAGCTAAAAATGAAAATGAACATTTAAAATAAAATAAATAAGTTGAATTAAGTTTTTTTAATATTATACTGTTATCGGTCGAGAACAGCACATAGATAAATAGGCTATTAAACCCTTAGTATGATAAATTGTTGGGAATAGTATAGAATTAGGAGATGACCATTGACGATTGAGATCTTTGGTAGCTAATGAACAACGTTGACTAAAACAAACGAAATGAAATTTTTGTTTTTTGTTAAAGTAAACAAAATTAACAAAAGAACCAAACTACAAGTTACATTATCATATTGACAATTGACATAGTTAGATTTTAATGAAACTACAACAATTTTAAAAGAGTCTATGAATTTGTTTCTCAAGTTATTATTAGTAAATACTTTGCTGTGGGTTAACATTTCAGAAAAATATGATCACAGTTCCAACATACAAAAAACCGTGATCCATAAACAAGAAGTTATTGAAATTATTCAAAATCTTCGATAGCATAGAAAACATTCTAACTGTACTAGAAGAAGATTATTATTCTGAAGGATCTGTTTCTGTTTTTTTTTGTCGTTCTCATTCATCATATTTGATACTCAGATTTATAGTAAAATTATTAATAAAAAAAACTCGTAGAAAATATTAACACTTTTACATTGGATTGATGTTTTTTTTTATACAATTGACACAATTTATCAAAACTCACCATCCATTAATAACACCATCTGGATTAAGCATTGGAATGATCTAAATATGCAAACATTTATTTCTATTATACATATTTATTAATAAAATTTTACTTTAAAAATAAATCGATCTCGTAAAATTCGTGCTGTTGGTTCATCACTTAATAAATAATCAATAATTCCTTTCATAATCCATGATGCATTTGATTCACCTGGATGAACACGTGCTGTTAATATAACATATGATCTTTCATCTTAAATTATAAAATTGATATATAAATATGATTTTTATTCTACGAAATTTTCAATTAATTATTTACGTAATGGAATTGTTTGTTTTTCATTTCGATATAAATCATTTTGATTATAAAAACTAGTTATTGTTAATAAAGGACAATCATTTCCAGATAATGTTTTACAAAGTACTTGTTGACGAAAATAAATACTTGTTCGATCATATGTATTTGACCAATTAATTAAATCCGTCTAAGTTTTAAACAAAAACAAAAACTTTAAAACTTATTCGGTTGATTGATTTACCCTTAATGTTGTATATGTATATGGATAATGATAAGCTATATAACAAATATCATTAGCATATGTAAATCGTATATTAAATGTTAATGTATAATAGATTTTCTTCTTTTTACCATATGTATTTTTATAATAAGAAATTTTTTCACCTGTCCGACGCCAATACGGTTTACCATTAAGTGCATCACACACACTAAACATAACTGGTTGCATACCAACATTAAATTGACTATTGATTTTTTCAAAATTAATTATATTAAAACGATATGTTATATCATTACGCATATTTGATACTTCAAAATAGAACCATTGATGATAACGAAATGTATTTATATCAGGTCGAAGGATAAGATCGTATTCCTCTTCGGTAATCTATTATGAAGAAATAAATAAGAGAACAAAAAAAAATTTGAAGAAAAGCAGTTCTTTTATTTTTCTTTTTACTTGAATTGCTTTTCTTAAATTGCTACATTCAAATCGAGAATCAAATAGAAGATGATCTGTATTTGATCGCCTGTGACATCTGCAAAAAAAATTTATTAATAGTACTGACGAGAAAATCTCTCAAAGTGATAAAAAATAGCGTTTGGAACGAGACTTGTATCATTAAATGAAGTTTACTGGGACTAAGCTAAATCTATAATAGTAAGTTTCGCCATATTGCTTTCTTCTCGATTGATGAACACTTTACTAAGTTTCTGTCCTAACATATCATAAAGAGTTCGATATTGCCATTGCAACTTGAAATTTTGGCTATAAAGAGTTCTTATGATATTTATCATGCATTGATGTTTTCTTTCTGAGATGACAGATTCTTAGTCAATGCGCATAGTTTAGAAAATATTTGGTTTTCTCGTAAATCTTTTATTTCAAGAACAAAACATTCCATTCGTTCTAGCTAAAACTTTTGGCATATAATAAAGATCATGAGACCTCTTTATAGTCAAAATTTTAGATGGCAGTGGCAACATCGGACTTTTTACGATATATTCTACACTAGGTCAAGAACTTATGAGAGAAGCACCTCAACTGTTGAAGAGCTTTTGACTTCATCTTTTGATTATGTCATTTCGATTTTCTTTCAACACTTGTAGCTTAACTTACATATTACATCATTTTTTTTTGTTTCTCATACATAAAAGAAAAGTGTTTAAGATCAGATAATTTACTAGTAAATTTTCAGTACTTCTTAAGTAAGTTTAGTCGATATTTGAATTTTAAATATCTTAGTGACCATAATCGAGTTTCTTGAATAGTTATGTTTAATATTCGAAATAGTTAGGCTTACAGACAAACGATCTTTTCAAAAACAATCATAAAAAGCTTCTTTTTTTTTTTGAAAACGCATCTGATCATATCTTGAGAGGAAAAAGTCATGGGCATAAACGCTTTTGTGGTTTTCCTAATCTCATTGAAACCTACTGATAGTCAAAACATGAAGTCAAAAGCTCTTAAACAATTAGAAAACCTCACTTGCCAGTAAAATGCTCAAAGATTGACAAGAAAGCAATACAGGATATGCACCATTATTCTTTTGGTAAATTCTCATGAAGCTTTTACAATGTTATTTTTTGCTGAATAAAAATCAATCACTAAATTTTGATTTTATAGATTTAACAGAATGAACTACTAGAAAAAAAGAATAACACGAAAAAAAAAATTCTTTTTATTTTTGATGTATTTCATTTTAGTCAAACAATATTGATTTAGATATATCTATTTTACTCAAATTGTTTTAATTATATGATAAACTTTTATTTATATTTCTACCTTTGTTCATCATCATTATCTAATGTAGTTTTTGTTGAATGATCAACAATTGCATCAAAATCATATATAGTTCGATTATAAATCGATGGTGGATAAAGAATTCGACGAATATCACCAAGTAATGTTGTTCTATAGAAATAGAAAACAACATTCAATATGATAAAAAAAAAAGTAATTTCATAGAATCTTACCGATTACTTCGTTCATCAGATTTTTGCATTGGTTCATATCTTGGATAACATAAAGCATTAAAAGCATCTGGATAGGCAAGTTTTGTAAATCTAAAAAAAAAAGATATTATTCATGGTTTTTTTTAAAAATTTCTTGAGATCTATTTGTATTTTATACTGATAGGCACTTCTAGTAGATTTAGCAAGCGTTGAATAAGTTTGAAAATATAAGTCTGATGACATGCGCCAATGAGAAAACTTTGATTGTGTTGTTAATGGTGTCAATGATGCTGGTAACATATTTCGAAATAATCTTGATAATAAACTGTCTGTGTGTGGATCAATAATAGTTTGTGCCGTCTTCAAACGAAGCTATAAGAAATCATATAAAAAAAAACAATATGAAAAGAAAGCTATTATCAGTATACCATATAAATTGGATCAATTGTTTCATCAAAAAATTGTTCATAAGCTCTTGATAAATCAATTGAATCACGCTAAAAAGAAGTAAAATACAAAAAAAAAGAACATTATCGACATGATCATAAAATGCTTACTATTGGTTCTTCACCATTCGGTGCAGGAATAGAATTCGATAGATTTTCTTTGTTAGAACCTTCATCTTCCTCATCATCATCTTCTTCTTCGTCATCATCATCTGATTTCGAACTATCTATCAAAGAAAACAAAATCAAAAAAAAAATTGTTTCATTCTCATAAATGATTGAATACGAGATAGAAATTAGCAATTCGAAACGCACATAAAGTTATATAGTATATTTCACGTATTTATCTTTTCGAATTATTAAGATTTTCCCAAAATGAAATTAACTGATCTTATATAAGTCTCAAGATAATTTGACTCAATCAAAACAAGAGAAAACAAGAATGCATAATGTGATATTCGAAACAGAGAGTATCGGAGGGCATGTAAACTTCGGTTGATCATAGAGTGAGTTGGTAATCTAACGAAAAAATTTATCTTTTGTTATGTCCTTTCAAAAAAATATTATCCATGTATAAAAATCAGATTATAATCGAGTAAAAATAGTGTCATTTTAATTTATTCATGATGAAGAACTAATGCTTTTTTAGTCTAATATCTTGTCTCTTTTTTAGTCTAATATCTTATCTCTTTTTTAGCCTTGCCTTGATGACAGTCTGTAATTCGGAGATAAATTATAATTCTTACCTTCATCATCAAGTTCTTCATCTTCAACAAGACGAATACCAGTTTCTTCTACATCATCAAGACCATTAGTATCTAACCCTGACACTTGCCGATATTTATTTCCATTTGTATTCGATTTTTTTTTTGATAATGTTTTTTGTTCAACTTTTTTCTTATCTAATTTTGTTCCTTTCGAAGATTTTGGTCGACATGTTGTCGTTGTTGTAGATTTTGATGCTGATGATGCTCTTGTTGTTGATGAACCCATTGATGATTTTGGTCGAATACGTTGTTCACTATTAGAATTTCGTTCATTTGATGGTACAGCTGATTTACATTTTTCACGCATATCATCAAGATCTTTTATTATTTGAGGATCTAAACAATTTTATTTCAAAATTATAAATTGAAAAAAAAAAAGAAAATCTATTCATACCAGCACTCAGTAATTCATTCGAAACAATATAATCATAACCTTGTGGTAAAACATATCTTACTGGACTAAATATTGTATCAATTGGTAATTGTTGTTTTGGACAACAATGAAGCATAACTTGACAAGAAAGATCAAGAAATGTACAAAAATTATCATTTGGTAAAACATTCATTGCTAACTCATATAATAAATAAAAACCATTAGCTTCCAAAAATTGAACACGACCAGCTTCTGAATATTATTTTTTTTTTAAATGATTATCGTAGAAAAATTAAAAAAAAACAAAAGATCTTATTCAAATTTAACATACTAGATTTAACTAAATTTAAGAGCACTTTAAGAAGGCCTTCTTTTATTTTAATTGTTCGTAAACGATTTTGTCCTTGGGATTTATCCATGAGAAAAACTACAGCTAATATATCACGAACAATTGTTGTTGATGTTGCACGTGCAGCTAATTTTTCTTTAAAAAAAAAAAAGAAAACAAATAAAATATAACTTTTGTTTTTTTGAATTGTTTATTTACATTTAAACTTACTAGTTTGAGTAAGGTGTCGAACAACAGTAATAGATAATTTTTGTAATTTAGCATGCCGTCGATCAAGTGTTAATGCTAGACGAAGTAAAGGTTGTAAACCAGATGCTCGACATATCGAAGAAGCAGTTATTGCTATTCAAATGAAGTGTTTAATCAATTACTTTTTTTTTTATTTCTGATTAAAAGAAAAATTTACCGTTTTTTGCATAGATTTTTAGCAAAGTTAAAAGAACCGGACAAATTTTTGCATTATAACTATATATACGTAATAATCCAATTGTACATGATATTGTTTTAAATAGACGAGCTTTTAAAGCAAGACGTTTATCTATTAAGAATAGATTAAAAGAAATGATTTTGATCAAGAATTTACAAACCATGACGACCAATAATTGCTAAAATTTGATGAATTTGAAGTGAAACATCTTGACCCAAACCACGATCTTCGGATACAGTGCGAAGAGTGTTTAATAAAAAACTACATATATCATTTTTTATTAAAGCTTTTACCATTGGTCGAGATGATTCTGTCAAAACAAACAAAACAAAAACATTATCATCAATTTCTACAGTAACAACAAACTGAATTGTCAATCTTAGTTCTAGTGTATATTGGCTGACAATAATCGTATCAGTCACAATAGATAAGAATAATGTATGTATCCTTGACAGGTTTTTGTTTACTAAATGATTAGAGTACTTCTAGTACATATGTATATATATATTTATTCTTATCTTTATCGTATTTCTTGTTAACTAATGGAACAATCATCTGTAGCATATAGTGTTATCTATTCTTAAAGTTTTAATAAATTCTTGATTAAGACAAAGTATTGAACGACAGAAATTTTTCATTCGAAATATATTTCAAGAATAATCTTTTATTTTTATTTTTTGAAATTTTTTCAATATGAAAATTTTTCTAGTTTAAAATCGATTGATTCATTAAAATCAAAGAAAAAGTTTGTTTATCATAAAAATATTTTCTTTTTACTTAGTAAATGTTAATACAAAATAGGAAATAATATGACGAACGCTATTTGACTGTGAATCGACTAGTTTCCGGTTATTTGTTTTACCAAAACAAAAAAAAAAGAATTCCAATGTTTGAGCTCTTGATGTAATCAAGATCATTTATTAATGTCAACGTTAATGCCTTTATCTTTCTTTCTGTATATTGCTAAAAATGTAGAATATTTTGATTGAATATTTATCCATCATACATACTCTTATCACAATCAAGTATTTCTCGTATGATATTAAGTATTTGACTAAGAAATTCAAAATCATCTGGACCATTAGACGTTGAAAGTAAAAGATCAACAATAATATTAGTATATTTTTCGATTACATCTGCAGTTGGTTTTTCTTAAAATAATCAAAAAAGCATAATTTATGTTAATATTTTTTGTTTTTTATAAATAAAAATTACCTGCATAAAAATATTGATTAATTTTTCGAACAGCATAACGAATATCTTCTTTATTATCCGATGTTGATGTTTTATCACGTGCTAATACTTGACCAATACGTGTAAACCATGAATCAATTCTATTGAAATAAAAAATAAACATATATGTGCTTATTTTAGTTGTATATTTTTGTTTGTTATATGTTATTAATGATAAAATCATGCGAACGTTAACCTATGTTTTTATTTCTATTAATATTTTACAAATAACATCTGCATTTTATTTACTCGATATATTACGTCGAGCTATAGAAATATTACTAATGAATCAAACACAATCATCAACAATTCAATATAATTTTAAAATGAAACCAATCTCTCTCGAAAAAAAAACTATTTTTCTAACGATTTTGATTTTTCATATAAAAGATATTTAAGATCAATTGATTGATGAGTTATATCATTGTTGTTATTCATGAACAACAAAATCTTTTCGAAAATGAATTCATATATTATTTTGAAAATTTACTTATTTAATTGTTTTATTACAGACATATTTTAAATACTTTGATATGAGTAATGTAACCAACAAAATAAAAAAACTAAAACTAAACCAATATAACTTACTTGATAAGAGGCATTAAGAATGCTTCGAAAATGATGACAGTAATTCGTAGACAAACAGATCGTTGATATTCATAAAAAGAGACAGATAATATAACGTTAGATATACTACGACAACGGGATGAGAGTAATAATCATAATAATCTACATAGAAAATCTAGAAGATAAATAATCAAGAGCTTACATTACTCTAACAACAACAATATGGTATGGTACAAAAAATGACGCCAAACATTGACAAAGAATGATACTTACTTTTTTCTTTCCAGGCGTCAATAAGATTAAGAGACCTTAAGACAAAGTCTGAGTACCAGTAGTAGAATAGCATTATGCATTTGTCTTCCTTTCTAAACACATCCTAATGAATAATGGATAAAAACAAATAGTTTATATTCTTTTTCTTTTGTACACATCTACAATAGCCTTCATTTTCTTTTTTTTTTTCTTCTTCGTCTAGAATATACAACAACAACAACAAAAGAAAAATCAATACATAGATCAAATAACATAATCTCATGAAGTGATTTATATTCAGAGAACATGACTCAACTTGTCTCTATTTTTTTTCTTGGTTTTTTCATTACAAAAAAAAATTATGTCATAAAACATGTATTCAGTAAAAGTAAACATCGTTTGTTCATAAACATTATTCAAACAATATCGAAAAAAAAAGTGTAAATTAATTGAAAAAGAAAAAAACCTCGAACAAAGTTTGTTTTTTTTTGAAAATCTCCAAAAACACATCAAACAATGTCTAGCAATAATAATCATACAAAGCTTTTTAAATACGCACATAAATGATTTCTAGAATTTTTTATGCCTTTATGTTTATATCAGATAAAACTAACTAATAGAAAGTATCCAAGTCTATATTATCTTATCTATGACTGTTAATTATGTGATGATAACAAAAAAAAAAGACGAAAAAAATAATTTTTAATTCATTACAAACAAAAATAAAAAAGTCCATTTTTCAAATTTCACTAAAAAAAAATAAACAAAACACAACAAGTTCATTTAACTAGAAATTACTGCAAATAATATTATTGAAAAATCATTTTCGTCGTCAAGTAAACCCTCTTGTTCCCTAGCAGATCGAACTCTATCATATTTACTTCAAAGCATTTGATTGGTTTTACTATACTACCAATGAATAAATCTATTTCAGCTGACACAAACTTTCTTTTTCTTGTTTTTATTGACAGACGAAGAACATTTTTAGTTGTCTACATTTACATCTCATTCACTACTTGTCAGATAAATATATAAAAACATAAAAACTAGAGATGCCAATACCGATTGAAAAAATTCAAGTAGTTGAAGATGAAATTGTACGGGAAAATGAAAGTGACAATGAAAATGATATTAATCATCGTGATATTCGTCATACAACAGCAATGACACCCCCAAATCAAGATTTTTCTTTTTTAAAAAATCCTTCACAAATAAAACGTTCTGTTCATTATGATATTGAACAACTGGATAAGTATGAATGTCAACCATTAAGAACACTACATGAAAACGAACAAACACTTGATAATGTTCTACGTCGACGATATATTGCACATTGGGGTTTACCAGGTTAGTTGATACTTTATTAGAATATGTAAATTCAAAGTTTAATATAAAGGTTATACATTAAAAATAATATCTCAAGGTCATATTTTCAAAAAAAAAACAAAGATGAATGTCATGATCTTTTCTTTGTTTATTGATGTTTAATGCCAAAAAAATTTGACACATTAGTTATGTACTAAGAAAATATCTTTTTTGTTTTTAAAGAATAGCATTGACGTCATTGAAATATTTAATTAGAAATAATGTATTTAAATTATCTAAAATTCTTTTTCTTTTTCTTTTTGTTTGTTTTTCTTTTATTAATATAGAATGGCTTGGTGATAATCATTTTCTCTTACAAAAACATCGTCCACCAGCTAATTCTGTTCGGGAATGTCTTATATCTGTAGCATCAATACATAGCGAAACAGTTAATATTTGGACACATTTAATAGGTGCATTATGTGTTGCTGTTACATTTATACTTTTTCTTATTGATAATCATCGACAAATGGATTTAAGTGATTATATATCATTTAGTGTTTTTTTTATATCAGCTATATTATGTTTAACATTTTCTACTTTACTTCATATATTTATTAATTATTCAGCACGTGTAATGGTTATTGTTTCTAAACTTGATTATATGGGTAAGAAACAAAGAATTTTAGGAGTACAAAAATAAAATTCATTTGTATTACGTCAAGTATTCTTTATAAATATTTAATAAATGATATATCTTTTATTTCTAGTCATATTATTACAATTATACTACTTTTATTTGAGCAAATATTAAAAATAATATTAAAAAAGATTGATTATACAAATTTCTAAAGAATCAAAAAAAGAAAAAGTTGTTGTCATTCATCTAAGAATAGAATCTTTAAATATTTATTCAATGTTTTGAAAGAGAACAGAAAACGAATGATTGATTATTCTTAAGAAATAAAATCAGTTTTTTTTTATATTGTATATTCTTTATATAAAAATTTCTTTTTTTATATAATAAATTAATTATTAAAAGTTTAATAATATTTAATTATTTTCTTTAGGCATTAGTATTTTAATATTTGGTTCAATGATTCCAGTAATTCATTATTTATTTTATTGTCATTTGAAACTTAAAATAATATATATTGGTGTTCTTCTTGCACTTTCTATTGCTTCAATAATTGGTACAAGTAGTGCGGCATGTGCAAGACCACGATGTCGTCCATTTAAAGCTCTTTTATTTATTGCTTTAGGTCTTTATGGTATGAAGAAATTAAATTTCTTTGTTTTTTATTATTATTATTGTTGCCTTTCTATTTAGGTGCCGCTCCTGCAGCTCATGGATGTATTCTTCACGGTTTTCCACGTATGTTTCAAATGGGATTTTTATATCTTTGTATTATGGCTGTAACCTATATTGCTGGTGGTGTTATTTATGCTGTTCGAGTACCAGAACGGTTTTTTCCGGGTAATTAATTATAAAAAGAATATATATATATTAATCAAACATTTTGTTTTTACTTATTAAAGGTCGTTTTGATATTGTTGGACAGAGTCATCAAATTTTACATATTGCAGTTATTACTGCTGTTTATCTACATTTTTATTCAATTTGTTGTTTATTTCATACTGTTGTTCAAACTGAACAATGTATTATGCCAATAACATTAAAACTTGGTGTAACTGATTTATCTATTTCGTCTACTTCAGTGGAATAAATTTATTTGTATAGGGGAAAAAGAAAATTACAAAATATTCGTGATTCTGTTCTATTGTGTAGTTTTGATGTCTTTCAATCTCTTCTTTTTATTTTTTCGACGTCTGAGTCATTTTATTCGTTTGTTTATTCGCTTTTTTTTTTGAATATGATGACTTCATTATATTAAATTTTGATAAGATCATTGCTTAATAAAGTATCACCAACGACTGCCATATATGGTTTAATTGTATATTTTGTTACAATACCATTTGTAACATAAGGATCTTGTTGTGCAATTTGTTCTACATCATCTATTGATAAATTACGTAAAATAATTAAACCTCCTGCTGGTGGATTATCAAAAGCACCACCTAAAACAACATTTCCTTTTTCAACTTGTTTACCCATATGAGCTAAATGAGCTTCACGATATGGTTTTCGTTTTTCAATTACATTGGCTACATAATCATATTGTAATAAATAAAGTTTTGGTTTTATTGTTCCAGTTGATGATGTTGATGCCATTCTCAATCTACAAATATAATTGTTACCAATGATACGTCGAGGAATTAAAGATGTCCACATATAGCTGTATATATATAATTGTTTGTCTCTAGAAAGGTCAAATTCTTTTTTTTTTTTGTATTGATATTTTTCTTTTTCTTCACGAAAAAAAAAAGAGTAATGTTTAATCTCACAGTTCCACATCGTTTTTTTTGTTTTCTTCAAATACATACATGTATAGGGAGAGAGCGAAGACATTTTTTTAAAATGAATAAACACAGAACGACACACATACATAGATTACTTATAAGAATAAGGACATGATGGCACACAGTCTCAACATAAGATTGGTTGACCAGAACAAGAAAAGAAAAAATTAACTTTACAATAGAACATAACTAAAACGATATAGGTGATTGATAATATTATCTATTGCTTATGTCATCGAAAACTGAGATTCACTTGTTATAAAATACATATATATATATATATATATATATATAGGTGTATATAAATGTTTTTTATTGTTGACTTTTTATTAATACTCCAGGTGCACGTTCAATACGAATACTTGTAAATCCTTTTGATTTTTCATCAGCATTACGTGGCTGTCGAACAATAATTAATTTTTGACGTTTAGTTTCATCAAGATTAATTGATTTAAGTTTTGTAATTAATCGATCAGGTCGTTGAAGATTACTGTAAACGAAACATATATGTATCTCCAATATAAAACTAAGTTTTCGAATGAACAATTATATAGTTTGATAACAATTGAAATTCTCTATCTTACCAGCCTCAATTAACCATTATTTGCTAGCAGACAAATCGAATCTTTTTTTTTTTATTGTATTCTCATTCAGTATCAGCAATACATTTTGTGAAACATAATTTAAAAGAAATATTAAAGTTAACGAGTAAAAATTTGATTCAACTCCTTCTTTGTCACATTTTGTGACAGTTGTTTTTACTATATGATCAAAGACAGTATATCAATGACGTCTCATTCTAATATATAAGCTGCTACTGCCTTCTTACATTTCCGGAGGATTAAATAGAAAGATAATGAGGAAACATGTCCGAAAATAGATACAATAAAGCAATTTTCCTCTTATTAACAACAACAGTTACATCGTGTTTCATATTTTAATCCCACAGGCATTGTGCTAACAGCTTTTTTTTTCTCTTATTTCGTAATCACATAACTTGTAGGATTAATTATCTACCATTCAATTATAATCTCATTCCTACGGACTGTGAGATTATATAACCATTATCTGAGAAAAGAAAACACATAATTAAAGACATATAAAACAGAATTCATAAGAATATGAGAATGCAGATACAATAAAAAAGATATGATATATATTTGCCAGAAAATAATGATTAGGGAAAACACAGACAAGATAGAGAATTCCAAGTACTATCAAACTATATGATTATTCATTCGAAAACTTTGTTTTATATTGGACATATTATTCTTTTTTGTTTTTTTTTATGAATGTATATATATATAAACTTACTTAACTCGACGTAATTTACTTGCACATGGCTTACCACTTTTTAAATTATATTGAGCATAAAATTCAACTTCATCACCGGGTCGTAATTCAAAACCACCATCAATTTCTGAATTATGAAAAAATATTTTTTTATTTTCTTCACATGCAAAATCAATAAAACCAAACTAAAAACAAATCATTTTTTTTCTATAATGATCAAATTCGAATATATATATATCTATTAACCTGTCCTTTAACTGTATCAATTTTTCCTTTACGTATTTCATTGTCTAAAACAATATTCACAGCACGTGTTGAATAATCAAGTCCAACAGCAACAGAAAATGTTACTGAATCATTTGGTAATAAAATAACTCGTTTATTTTTAACACCTGTTATACTATATGTATAACATTCACATGGAATACCATCATCATTTAATTTTTGAATTCGACCAAGTATTTCACATTCATCATTTGTTATCATTCGTACAGGTGATACAACACGACCACGATGAATTGTTGGAAGTACTGACTAAAATAAATTGACAAAAAATTTTCATTAAGATTTTAGAAAAAAGAAACGTACATAGAAATTATGAATAGTTGTTGGTACTTTAACAATATTTTCAGCTGTTAAACGGCCAGAAATTTTTCTTAAACTAAACTCAACTTCATCACCTAAATCGATTAGTGTAGTATCATTTGTAAATGAATTAGTTGTAAATGCAACTGGTTCAATATTATTCGTTGTATTATTATTTTGTTCAATAAAACCTTTTCCTTCACGAATAATTGCAATCCAACCATGAATACGATTTCGTTCAATTAATGTTACATTTGTTGCTAATTTACTACCTGTTGCCAATGTAAATTCAACCTAAAAAAAATTCATAGCAATAATTTTCCAAAAAATTTTGTATAATTCTTCATACTTTATCACCACAATATAATGTTGATGTATAACTTATATTTGTCGATAAAAATTGAATTGTAGATTCTATTCCATCACATATATATCGAATAATACCGAAATCTTGTTGACGATTTGTTGAATTTGATATTGAATCATTACTATGTGTTTGTTGTACTTTATTTTCATTTGTAGATTGTACATCATTTCCACGATTATTTCGTTCTAAATATTAAATTTAATAATTTATTTTATTTCATAATATAAATATACTAACCGGTTCGTCCATCTTGTGGATCACGTTCAATAATACCTGTTAATCGTAATTCACGACCATTTATCATAGTTAATAAATTATCTTTTGGTAATAATTTAATTCGTATTGCATGTGGTAAATCCTAATTACGAACAAAAAAAGAAAAAACAATTTTCTTTTTAAAAAGATATTTATCAAAACAAACCCCATTATTTGCACTAATAGCTAATGAAAATTCTAATAGATCACCTTCACTTATTTGAAAATTATCTTTCATTACTTCAGTAAATCGAAATGGAATTATTTGATCTGATGATAAACATTTAATCTGACCACCTGTTGTACTATCTAATTTAATAACAATACCCTATTTTGAAAGAAAAAAACAAATAGATTGTATTTTTTTCTTTTTTTTTTTTGAAAAAAAAATTTACCATTTCTCGTTGTTCTTTTGATTTAAGAAAACTTTGATCAAGTAAAGATATTTGTGTAGCACGCATCATACCATCACGTTTATCTTTAGCAATAACAAATTGAACAATATCATTTTCAAGTAATGTATATAAACCACAACGATCTCGTTCACCAAATGATAATTCAGACATTTTACTATTTAATTAAAAGTTATGCATTTTATAGAAAAACAAAAAAGAAAATTTACTTGTCTAATGTATCATAAAGTAAACGGCCAGTTAATATTTCATTTGATTTTTTTGGTTTGATTTGTAATGGTTGTAAGATTCGACCAATATATAGTATTTTATCTATTTCATCAAACTGCACTGTACCTTTTGGTAATATAACTATGTTTATAGCCACTTCTTTATTCTAAAATAAAACAAACAAATCAATCAAATATTTTTTACAAAAACAAAGCAAACTCTCAATTGAAATTTGTCTAAGTTGGATTTATGTTGTAAAATATACGAATTAGTGTCCTATCGTAGTACAATTTTTCATACTCAGACTTAACTGGCTGTAGGCGACATACAGCTGGCACTATTTGATACTGACGAAGTAACCATCTGAACTGATAGCTACCATTTGAGGTCGCGTTATGATTGTTTTACTGAATTTTCGACCTAGCTTTAATTTTATACCGAAAAATTTAAAAAAATAGTAATTTTGACGTGAAATTTTGTCCATAAATAGGTCATATGATCCGTAGAAAATTTCAGTCGAAAAGAACATTACTTCGTTAAGATATAGAATTTCCTGAAAAAATAGTCGTTTGCCACAGGCATAGAAAAAAGATCGAGTTTACTTGAAAATCCGATATTACGGCAAAGAAATATTCTTTTCGGCTAAAACTTTCAGAATATTCTATAAATCATTCTATCTATCAATTAGCAAAATTTTACATCGAAATTCTGTTCTTTGCTTTTTCGGTTTTAAAATTCTCTCAATATTACTTCAACGTATTGTCGATAGATACTCAAAGGAAAACATGCAATATTAGAACTAAACATAATTAACGTAGACATATATCCATTATGATCAATTCTTCTTATCATGCAAATACATATTCAACCTTCTATTAACTAAGTTTAGTTTTTTGCATATGTTAAATCATTTCCTTATACAATCTATCATCAAAAACTCATCTCTTATTCTAACTATATTAGTCATTCTCAACTATGCCAATCGGTTAAGATATAATCGACTTGTTATTCATTTCTATATCTATAAATACAAAACAGATTGACAAGATTAGCACAACCATTAGTTATTAGAATGTCTGTGTAAATACCGAGTAGAGAAGATCATAATCTGACCAGATCAAGCATTTTTTTTTTATGTCTATTATCCAAACTATTTGTACATGAATCTAAGTACCAAGTCGAGCTGATTGTTGAGTACCCGACCTGCTTGCAGGATTCTAATACAAATACGTAACTGGATATTACTCAAGCAATAAACATATAAATTCTTTTTTTTTAATTTTAATTATAAAGCTTAAACACAGGCATATTGTCTCACTATATTTAAAAAAACCTTTGTTTTTTTTTGCAATAAATCCTAGAAAATATCTTTCTTTGAAATATCTATGGAAATACTATCCATTATAAGCATGACTTTCTAGCAAAATAAAAAAACAAAACCTAAGTAATAACAAATATTTGTAATTACTTTTTTTTTCCTGTTAAGTTTTACTGTACAACAAATATTTAAATGAAAAATATTTTAATACAAAACAAAATTAACTCAATTTAGTTTCAAAACATATGGATACTTATAATACAATACCGATCGATCAAAAAACTATTACTATTTCCAAGAAAATTTCTATTATTATCATTGTACAAAAAACAAAAAAAAAACTTTCTTTTTTTTTAACTTACATGTCTATCTTGAATATCAAATTCTACTTCCACACCTGGTTGAATTGTATTTGTTGCTACATTAGGTCCAAATTCAGTTATATGAAAAAATATTTCTTTAAGTGCATCTTCTCGTTCAATAAAACCAAAACTATCTTTCATTGTTGATATAACACCACGAGAACGTTTTACAGTTGATACTGGGGAATTTACATTTTTAATTAATGCAATATTTCTTGCAAAAAATTGATTTGTACGACGATCTTGACCAACATTAAAAGTTACCTTGATTAGTAAAAAAAAAACAAAAGTACAAACTATTGAAAATAATTCATAAACTAACTTGATCTCCAAATTCAATTGAAATAGATGGATCTTGAAGATCTGCTATACCATATGGTAAAAAATAAGTTTCACCTTTTTTAACATACGTAACTTTGCCATCGGGCATAAAACTTAACTGATCAAACTAAAAAAAAAAAGCCAATTAAATCTTTTAAATTGAAATAAAAAAACGTGTATTCAATGAAATTTACGCCATTATTTTGTGATTGTTGTCGAGCAACTACTGCAATTGTACCTTCAACACGATTTTCACCGATTATTTCCGAACTAACAGGTATAATATTAATAGCAACTGGTTTTTGTTTTCGTTTATCAATTGTTGTTTCAAATTCAACAACATCTATTCAAAATAAAATGCACTAAATATTGAATTTCTACGATGAAAATAAACTATTTCTTTTAACCTCCTATTTTAGCTTGTTGTATATCATTTTTATATTCACTAAAGTGAAAAAAATAACGACCATCACGATGACAACAATAGACAAAACCATAAGTTGAACAAAGTTTTTCAATAATACCCAATTCACGTTGAGATTTATTTGAAATAATTTCTTCTGTATTATCAAGGTTTTTCATTGGTGTTGATGAAAATTGACTATAATCTAAGAGAAATAAAAATTATTCAAATTTTATATTTTATTTTCTTCAATTATTTTTTTGTTTTTTACGACTTACTCTGATTATAAAGTTCGGTTGGTACAGATGTCATCAAATATTTTATTTGTACAAATGATGAAAGACAAAAGATAAATCAACAAAACACGACGAACAAAACAAAAAAAGAAACTTGATAAATGTGACAAGATAATAAACTACGGCTATACAAAAAAGAAACAAAAATCTATAAGATTAAAAGAATAAATTAAAATATTTGGCGTTTAAATATAAAATCATAGTATCTGAATTTTCATATGACATTTGTAATAAACAAAAATATTTATATAGCAGAGGTCGCAAATTTCAAAAGAAAAAAAGAAAATATTGACAAACAATTTATAATATTCATATTATTCGATATTAATACATATATGATGAAAGAAATCTATGATCTTACACGTCATGATTAAATTATTTTAACGAAAATAATAATAAGAGAAAGAAAACGATTGAAGAACGGTGTTTAAAAAGAAAAGGGCATCAGCTGTTACTCATTTGTACGAACAGTTATTGGTTATTTGTAATTGACGAATCAAAAAAAATTGCATTCTTTCTTTTGATGATAGACCGATTTTCGACTGTAACTTCAGTGAAATTAGTCCACTAATGATCAAAACATTGAAATTGTCTTTCAACTGATCATTAGATAAATTCTTTTGAAATAAAGAATAATATCTATATTCAACAGTCACCTCCGCGGGAAGTGTATCCGCTTCCCGAAACATCAATATAATTGTTAGTTTTCTGTAGCAGCAAATGTAACATTTGTCTACACTTTAAACTATTTGTGCAAGAGTTTATGTATCAACTTATCAAAGATGTTAAACTTTTCAAAAATTACAGAAAAAGAAAGAAAAGATAATTAGATTGATAGAAATATTCGCATTTTTTCAATTATATAATTAAAAATAATTTATTGAAACATTACACATGATCATTGTTTCTAATTTTAAACAACAACAATGTTATCTTATTTTCAATTAAATATAACTTTTATAACGATGTCTAAATGAACTATAGTCGTTTTATCTTACTAACAACAATTAACATGTTTATTTCTTTCCGACAGATCGAATCAAATTAACGAATAAAAGCAATTTAAACATCAAAGCATTCCGATATGTTTGTAAAAAAATTTTCTTTATTTGTAATTGTTCAAGTATTTTAACATGTATCATTCAGAATACTTATTGACATGATGTACCAAAAAAAAAGAAACACCGTTGAATTCTACGATAAAGAAACTAACATTTAGGTATATAGACTATGTAATATCATTTATTCTTCATTGATATTAGTAAATAAAAGAGATCATGAGAGAATTATCAAAGGAGATTTACTTCTAAGTTTTCATACTTAAAAATGAAATGTTTTTATGTACTATAATGAATTTTGTAATCAGATATTTAAAAAAAACGATTTCTAAATATGATGATATGAATTACGACATAGAATTGTTCGCACATGGTTTCCAATCGATCGTCTTTTTTCTCACCTATATCTACTTATTATCTAAAAGTTGTATATGTTAATACTAATTTTTTCCTTATCATTTTAAGCTGTTGTGTAGCGTATATAATCAGTTACGAACGAAAATGAAATATTTTTATACATATACATATCGATATCATTCATAAACAGACAAGTCTAACAATTTAACGGACTATAGTCAATGAGAAACATCGAATAAACAGATTACTCTCTTGTGTTTTTTTCGATAGTGTACCAGCTGGATATATTCACTGTACGTATATATATATATATATAGTCTATCATATTTAGAATTAAAACATATTGAATAATGTTTCATCTTCCACCACCACCTCGTTTTACACTTCCACCACCACCAATGCTTGCATCAGACGTTATTGATAGAAAAATTCGATTTCGATTAACATGTTCGTCAATTCGACAACAACAACATCGACAAACGACTAATCTTCGCTTGATTATAATCAGCTGCATTAGTTTTCTTATTGTTATTATTCTCTTATTTATAATAATCAAATTCTATCGTCGACGAAGATCTTCACTTTATGATAATGAATCAAAACCATCAAATAATGTATCAATAAGTAGTAGTCGTTCATATGAAACAATTTCAACTGAACATACGAGTGGTTATATTGAATCTAAATATACATCAGCAACAACTTTTTCAACAAATCCAAATAATGTTTTATGTGTTTATTGTCATCAAGAACGTGATTATTCAAATACTTCTTTAACACCATACTATCATACACTTGAAATTCCTTCTTCGTAAAATTAATGTATATATTTAATTATTTTAAACAGTGATTATGATTGCTTTTGTTTTGCTATTTAATAAAATAAATTCTTGTATGAATAATCATTGCAGAAACTATAAGACATTAGGAAAGTTTTCATATTCGATCAAACAAAAATAATTTCAGGGATTTTTTTTCTCTTATCTAAATTATCTCGAAAATGATCATTTTTAGGTCAAATAAGTTTATGATCAATACAAAAATTATAGAGCAAGTTTTGTTCATCGTGTTACCAACGAACAAAAAAAACAAACAAATTCATTTCAGTTCAATCTTATTGGAGTGTATTCCACACAAAAGTTAAATTCAATTTAAATCAATTAATTAGAAGAATGATCAGATTAATTGATTTATTTGAGCATGAGTTCAATATGATACATATCATTAAAATAAAATTTGATATCATAATCGAATTTTACAGTGATAGAAGTATTAGAGAGAATTTTTTGTAATAAATTAATATTTCATTCAAGAAAACCAAAAAACCCCCATAGACATTATTTAGAGTTACTTATACATTCGAAGAATAAAATGACACATCTAGCATATGGAATATTTTAATTCATTATCTTGGAGTTAGTTTCATAGATTCCAAATCATCCGATTTTTAGAGTAAAATTTTTCTGAAAAACATTCATTAATTAAGACACAAATGACTTGTTATCTTTTAAAAATGGTTGATCATTTGAATAGCTTCCATAGATATACTAATATGATTATTTTCGTCACAAAAAAAAAATTGCAGTGAATACGAAGGTGTTATTACTGGTTTGATCATGCGACTACTTAATTAACGAAGAATAATAAATTCAATACACGTTGGAAGACAAAAAAAAAAGGAATAATTAATTTTGATGAGAAGCTTTCATTAAGCGTTCGACTCATGTGATACACGAGAAAAATCATTTGTAATAGAAGTGTTGGTATTAGTTTTATTTGAAATTAATACATGCTCCTAATTTTGTACAGGCTTCTTCATAGAACTACAGCTTGATTGCGGACATTTTTTTTTTGCCTAATTAAGGAAAAATATCTGCAAAACAGAATCGGGGAAGGGGAGAGACAAGTTTTTACAATTAAATCTTGACGAACATTGATTGAAGCGTTGCACAATTTACGTGTACGAGCCCATACTTGAGTTGCATTCTTATTTATTCGTTTCATTCCAAAATGATAATTTTTGAAGATTATACCATTCTTGCTAAGTTGTGTGGTAATTGTAGAAAAGCTATCATTTTTCATGATGAGCATTTTTATCTATTTCATCCAGCTTCATCTACATCCCTTTAAATATTTTCGTTCACAAAATGACCTAGATGACATGTGACTTTCAATAGTAGACTAGCTTGAAGCAGCTGACATTCTTAAATCGAGCTATTTGCACGGATCATCTTACTATATCTATATTCATTCTTTTCCATAATGAGAACATTTTTGTCTCTCTCTCTCGCCGCCTCTACTTTGCGGTCATTTTTATTTCTCTCCCTCCGATTCTGCTGTGCGAACATTTTGTTCCTCTTATTAAGAAAAAATGTTCGCAATCATGAAGACACGCTTAATAGATAATTCTAATAAAATACGATTCAATGGTCGTAGATTGATCTGTTAATTTTTAACGGATAATCATTGATAGAGTTATTGAATTCTATTGAAAGGCTACTTTCAATATTTACAATTCTATCGTACAGCAAGTTGTACGATCGGTTCTTCATCTGTTACTATGAATATAAGAATTATGTAGTAGTCATTCACGAAGAAATGATATAGATAAAATTCTTAAATAATCAGCTTAGTATATCTGATTACTTGATAAACATCTTAAATCCCTAGGTGAAGTTCATCATATTTTATTACTATTTCATTTTGTAAAAAAACAAAAAAAAACTGATGTATAGTTTGTTATGTTTAATAAATATCGAACAACTTACTCGTTATTGATAGTAAATTAATATCAAACAAATGATAGAAATTTTGTTTATAATAATTGATGTTTCAAGATAAAAATAGTTGAAATAAGTAAACGCTGAGAAAAATAAAAAGAGATTCTTTCAGATTAGATTCATACAAATTCAAGACATCTGAAAAATTTATTAGTTATATGAATAGAACTTTACTATGTATATATTTATTGAATAAGAAATATGAGTGATTTAATCAAAATCTTCATACCATTTTATTATTTCGAGAAAGATCTAGTAATCAATAATATTTCAACAATATCTATGTGGTTAGTTATGTATAAGTATAGTACATATCAATATATTTCTTTATTAGAGAAATTCTCTATAGACACAATGGAATGACAATTAATAGAAAAATGACAAATGTTTTTCATTATTTTGCATCAAACCATGTAAAATTAATCATCTAGAATGGATTATTTTAAATATGAATGACCTAATCGTTTCTATATCTATCAACTAATATAGAAACTTTGTCGATAAACAAATATTGTTTTCATCTAGGTCATCTCTAGTGTAACCGTTAAGTTATTTATCATATTTATGCTTGACATTTGCCAGATTGTTTCGTATTTTCTTTTTTCTTATCAGAAACAAAGTTTCTACTAACAGTTGTCCTTGAGATGTCTAAGTTTTAATCATACATAAGATATAGTCAAATACGTACTATTTATGTTTATCGTTATAAAACTTTTAACTAACTATCGATTAGTGTTACTTGTCTAACGAATAATTCGTTTACAATATGTTATATAATTGCTGAGTTTTCCCTCAAGTAATAAAAAAAAAAGAAAACGAAGCAAAAAAAAAAATAACAGAATACATAATTTAATTATCGACTTTAATATAATTTAGCACTTATAAATGTTCATTGTTTTAATGTAATATGTTGTCATTAAATACAAAAAAATAAATAAAATAAAACTTGATATTAGACAATAATAATCGATAAAAATTAAATGTAATATTTTTCATTCTGTTCATTACAAAAATTTTATTTCTTCTTTCTTTCATAAATACACATGTGACAAAATTACTGACGTTCATCAACATACATAAAAAAGAAAAAAAGAAAAAAAAAAAGCATTTCATCCCTCACCGATAAGTAGTCTTCTCTATTTCCTCTTAAAAAAAAATATGATTATCATTCGTAATATTACATATTCAATTGGCATGAAAAGGAAAGAAAAGAGAAAGAGGTATTAACATTAACACACACTCACCCACAAAGACATACTGTTCATGTCGAAATAAAAATAATTCTCAGAAAGAAAAAAAAAAAAGAGAGGATACCTATGTGTATTGATAATTGACGAGGATACTATCTAGCTTGGCAGCAACCCGTCATTATGAAAAAAAAAAAGAAAGGATAAGCAACTTTGCCGATATGAAAGAGAAGTGTAAAGGGCTTCACACAGTGCAAGAAAAAAAATAAAGATGGATCGCAACTTTTTTCTTTTCTTTTTGTTAACTCAAATCGAGTTTAAATATACAATGATACATTTGTTGTTCATTTTCATTTGTACTAATAGAAGATAATTGTAATGCATCAATAAATTGTTTACCAAAATAAATATCATTTGTTTCATTTTGATGTATTGATAAAAACTTTCTTTTACTTTTAAATATAATTATATGTGGAATAAATTCTTGATAATTTCCAGCAAAAAGTATATTATTCATTTTATGTTTTTGTTGTTGTTCATAAAGACGTTCAATAGTTAATGTACGTAAATTATCTAATCGATTATTTTGTTGACATTTTATAAATAATGTTTTACTATGAAATGTATCAATGCCATGAAATTCTAAACATATACGTTCAGGATATGAACAATGATAATGAATTTCTTCTTGAATACGTTTTAATGCTAGAATACATTGTTCAATTTGTAATGATGATTCAAGACGTAATGTCAATAATGTTAAATGAAGATGATGAGGATCAATTAATAGAATATGTGAAGATGAAGAAGAAAAAATTGAAGGATATGTAGAAAGTAAATGTTCTCGATATGCAATATAATGAGATATAATTGATGAATCATTTATTGGTATTGATATTAAATAGTTCGGTTTATATAAACCATCGGTTAAAGTTAAATAACGTTTTGTTGATAAATTATGGTCCATATCAATAGGTTTTTCATCTTGAGCACTTCTGATAATACGAACAAAAACAAAAAAAAAAAAAAGATAAAATCATAAAATGTTCGTTTGAAATCATTAGAAGACTTACTTTGTTTCAATAAGATTTTCATGTCGTTTAATAATATCATCAATTGTTTGTTGATTACCAGTTGAACCAAATATTAAATCAATATGTGATTTTTTATCCCAAATAATTTCATTAGCATATTTAAAATGTTGTATACGATTTTTAGATATATCAAGTATATTTGTATGTCGATCATTTATTGTTGATAAATCAGTTTTAAAATCAAAATCATTAAATGGTTTTTCTTGTAAACCAAGAATATGATCAATATAACCAACACGTATATAATGTTTATCAAGACGATTATCACATTCAATATATGATATAATATCATCAGCTGTTTTCATTGAATATTTTTTTATTTCTTCATTATTATGTTCATCATTATGTGATATTTTATTATGATTATTAATCGATGCTGTTGGTGAAAGAAGTCTACCATTTGTTGGTGAACGTGGAGTAGACGTATTATTATTTATATTAATAGTTAATGCTTGAATATTATTTTCATCAAACCATTTAAGTAAACGTGAATATATCGATAAAATCATTGGTTGATTACGTAATGTTTCACTATAAGATTGAAGAAGTTTTTGAACAAGTAAAATTTGATCAGGTGTAAGACGAGGCGCTGTTATTATTATTTCAGGTGGTTTTTTAGGATAAGATCCTATTATGATTATTATTAACAAGAAAAAAAAATTTATTAAGAATTAAAATTTATTTTTTTTTAAAAATACAATATTTACCATCTAATTGTAATGTTAATGAAACATCATATTGATCAGCTCGTATTTTTAATATATAAGAAAATTGTCCAATAGATGATAGAATACGAATATTATCTTTAAAATGATCACGAAGTAAATTCATTTCTTCTTCTTGTCCAGCACTATTTGATTTATTTTCAATTTTAGTGGCCATACAATTATAATATTCTAAATTTAAATAATTAGTAGTTATAAAAAGAAAATAATTTTATCTCGAGCTTTGTTTTCTCTTTATTTTTCTCTCACAAATGTGTACTCACCTGGTGTACGTAAAGAATACAACAAATGGATGGATTACATCGAAGATTTTAGTGTACTATCGTGTAACTTATGTTACTCACTCACACGCTGACCTTTGTAAGTCAGCCTGGATGAATGAATCAATATGGGAGAACTAACAAGGGATTATCATATCATCATCATATTCATGATAAATAAATATGATTGGTTTTAGTTTTTCAACCAATCATTTGTTTATATATTAATTTAATATTATTTGTAGTAATTTCTTACTTGACTAAATATAATATACGCAAAATCGATTTTCTATGAATAAAATTATCCTCAATAACCAATAGAAAATTAGATTGAAACCTTTATGATGATGTATTTTTATTTTCTAAACTATGTGCTTGAATGTGTTAAAAAATATGCATATTCATCATGATGGTGGAGAACAGAGTTATAGATTTCTTGAGCAATTAAAATGACGATGCATTTCATCTTATTTATTTGTTTATTTTTATTCTTCTATATATATACAACACTGTTCATTTTGTATAAAATAATTCAATATTGTTTTTTTTAATTTATTTAAGATAACTTATAATAACAAAAAAATAAGAAAATGGGTCGCCGACCTGCTCGATGCTACCGTTATTGCAAGAACAAGCCATATGTAAGTTATTTCAAAACAAAAAGGAATCTATTTATTTATCTTTGTTTTTTGAATAGCCAAAATCTCGTTTTTGTCGTGGTGTACCTGATCCAAAAATTCGTATATTTGACTTAGGTCGAAAAAAAGCTCGTGTTGATGAATTTCCATTATGTGTTCATCTTGTTTCCGATGAATATGAACAATTATCTAGTGAAGCACTTGAAGCTGGACGTATTTGTGCTAACAAATATTTAGTTAAACATTGTGGCAAAGATGCATTTCATATACGTATGCGTGTTCATCCATTTCATGTACTTCGTATTAATAAAATGTTATCATGTGCTGGTGCTGATCGTTTACAAACAGGTATGCGTGGTGCATTTGGTAAACCATTAGGTACTGTTGCTCGTGTTAATATTGGTCAAGTTATTATGTCAGTTCGTGTTAAAGATCAACATAAAGCACAAACTATTGAAGCTTTACGTCGTGCTAAATTTAAATTTCCTGGTCGACAAAAAATTTTCGTTTCGGATAAATGGGGTTTTACAAAATTTAGTCGTGAAGATTATGATCGTTTAATGCAACAAGGACAATTACAATATGATGGTGCCAATGTTAAATATCTGCCCAATCATGGTCCACTTGCCCATTGGAAAAAACGACAAACTGTTTAAGATAATTTGTTAAAAAAAAAATTCTTGTTACTTGTTCTTCTGCAATTAACGAAAGCAAAAACAAAAGTTTTATGGAATAAGATCATTTTTTTTGTTTAAAAAAAAAAAGAAAAAAGAAGAAGAATAAAATATAAACCGAGCAGTTGATTTTATTTTAATATTCTTATTATTATTAAAAGAATTAGATAAAAGTAATTGAAAAATACAAAAAAACGAAGAATTAATGAAATTAAGCAATAAAATAGTTATCATTTTCTATTAACTCTTTACTCTCTCTCTTTTCCCCTTTAGTTATTGAACTGACCATTTATAAAACGACTGTAGAAAATAAACGAAACATAGAATTCAAAAATTTTTAGAAAATGTCTTGTAGTAAGGTCCATAAACTATCAAGTGATAAGAAAATATTTTGTTTCGTGTTATTTCATTTTTTCAATAAAATATTTTTCTGCCAACAAACAAGATATATGATGGAAATGTATTGTGTGATATATAACGATGACAATATCTACTATTGATATCAATATCATCCAAAAATGTCATAAAAACTAGGTAGAAAAGATATCGTAAAACACAGAATGGTGACTATAGTTTTTTCAGCGCCTACAACTTCAACATAGAATTTTCTCACATCATACAAAATGGTAGAGCAAATCATTCTCTACATTGTTTTTTCATCGGATTACATTAGACTGACGAAGGCTCTAGATAGGATTTTTTTGTCAAGTCATTCTCTTCCAAATGACCACTAGAATGACCAAATGAGAGTGTGCCTGATCAGCTTGTCTATATTATTGATATATTGGAGACATTAGTACTTTATTCCAATGATTGTTTCATTAGTAGCTCTTCTGTAATCGCTATGGAAGGTTAAGAAATTGAAAAATTTCTCTATGATTATGTTTGGTTTTTTTTTTCCTGTCCATCATGATTTTTAACTAAACAATTTATTAAAAAGAGAATATAGATGAGTTTATAAGAATGGAAAATTATTTTCATCATAAATGTTTTCGCAAATATTTGACTGTAAATCAAGTTTCATTTAGTTACAGTCAAGTCACTTTCAATCATTTCTATCAAGTAAACAAACGATAAGTATAAAATAATAAACTTGAGTACTCCTCTTGATTCATTAGAGAAAACATTTCCTTTTGATATTAAGTTTTCTATGCCATTACAAAAAAACACAAGGTATCAACTGTTAGCTATACATGCAATAACACAACTATTTGAACGAAAAAAATGACAATTATTTGTTTATTTTGTTGAGCAACCGTTGTAAATATAGATGTTAAATAGAGAATATAACATATAGTTAGTTTTTACTTTACTTTACATATATTAACAAACACTCTCACGTGATCATCAATAATTGATGTTTTTTCAATAGAAATAATCAGTTTAATATAGATCCTATAGCTTATTATTATACTATCTTTGAATATAAATGGATATTCTATGTAATTAGTTGATGATCACACGTTATAAATCGGTACAATATACATCAGATGTCCAAGCAGGCCTAGCCTGCCTATGACAGGCTTTTATCATCCCTAGCCTGCATGCATCTGTTGTCTTTTTTCCTCGGCCTGCCTGTTAAGGTCTATCGATATTTTTTACCTCAATATCTTGGTCATGATAAAAAATAATCAATTATTATTTGCATAGAAAGTCTGACAAGTCAATGAAATCCATTTGGATGACACCAGTAAAAATTTCTAATGGGAACATTTAACAAAGTATTTTAAAATGTTCATTATACGATGTACTCCTTTGTTATCTGAGTAGTCGAATATTTAAAACTACGAGTGGAAAAGAAAAGTTTTGACTGCAGAAGTTTTGTTCTACTTGGTAAAGACGATGAAAAAGCATTTATTTTTTTATAATAAAGATATTTCTACAAAGAAATGATTGATTTCGAGCGAAAATCGCTGTGCTTGAGTTTAGACTATTCTCTATAACGAGGTGTTTACATTATGCATGTATTGGCAGTGTAAGTTCTTACTCTAGATTTAATATGAATTGAGAAGTATTGATAGTACAAAAATGAAGAATAGAATGACATTCATATTGAGAAAAGCAATCTAGTTTTTGTACAAGAATATTTTGAACGAATCTAAGAGGCAAATATGTTACTCATAGTATTAAAACTAAAAGAGGACCAACTTGCAGTAATTGCTAAACATTTAGCACAAAAAGATAGTTCAATTTCAGCTAAATTAGTGAGGATTCAAAAACAATTCAGAGCAAATAATAACAAGCAGAAAAAGGAGAGGTCGATAAGTAATGAGACCGACCTCTCCAAAAGATTTTTTTTTGTTTTTCTATACACAACTGTCGCAAAAGAATTTCGGAAGTGGTCATTAGTAGAATTAGCTCTTTTGTACTTATTTAAACTGCACTCGAATCGTTTGAAATAGTCAATAAACATGTGATATCCGACTGTTGATGCTAATTAGGCGCATTTAACAATTAATATGGCGGTCGATCATGTTAGTTTTCATATGACTTGATAGAGATTTTTGAACGATCCAAAGTGCTACGAAAACATCGAAGATGACACGCTAGTCATTAAAAAATATCTGAGGATATTGTTCCCTAGACAAGTTTTTAAGTATTTTTGATTATTATTTCGTAGACATCTCTTGGAAAACGTACAGTTTAGATAAAAACTAAAATCATATTATAAATTACTATTTAACACTGACTCGGTCTATGTGAATTTCAAATCGTGTTATCGAAAAATTGCCGCTGATCTCACTCAGAAGCAAGTCAAAAAATGAATCTCGTCCAAATGGCGTTTTGATGGCATATGCATATAATATTTTGTATTCTAGTATCATTGTACAACGTTAGAATTTTTCCCACTGATGAAATCACTTTTAAATATGATTCGATTTTTTGACTTCATTCCGACAGAAGCCAGAGACAATTTTTTCGATGAAAAGATTTAAGATTCACATAAACCTAGTTAGTGTTAAATACTGATTTATAATACGATTTTAGTTTCTATCTAAACTGTTGTTTTCTAATAAAAATATATGAAAATACGAATTCAAAATACTGAAGTACATGTCTGAGAACAGTAACTCTTGGACTTTTTTTGGATAGTCAGTATGCTGTGTTCAATGTTTTCGTAGCATTTTGAAGTGTTTAGAAATTTCTATTAAGCTATATGAAAACCAGCATAGTCAACTACTGTATTGGTGGTTAAATAGACTTCATTATCATCAATGGTCGAATAGCATATGTTTATGGACTGTTTCAAATGATCTGAGTACAATGTAAACAAGTGCAATAGGAATGATCTTATCAGTGACCATTTCCGATATCCTTTTGCCACAGTTTTCCACAAAGAAAAAACACTAAATCTTTCGACGGCAGCAGTCTCGATACCTATTAGCCCCTTGCTTTGTGTTGATAGCTTCTTCATAATTGTAGCAGATTTCATTGTTTTTATCCATTCTCTATATCTATTCTCAAGCATTTATCTAATTTATCACATTTAATTCTTTGAGGACAGGATTACTGTTAATTTGAAAAATCAACTTTTTGAAACGTTAACTGATGTATTTATGTAGACAATTTAAAAAAACTATTGTCTAAAAGTATTCCAGAATATGATAATCTCGAAAACGATCTGGAATACAAAGTCCGATGTTACATTCAGTGCATTCATGTCTGGTTTCAGAACTTTTTGTGACGCTGTTTGTTTTATTTGCGCAAACTACGCATCACTGCTGCGAACTTTGACTTGTCGATGATTAAGGTATTAGTGACGGGAAGACCCAACGAATGAGTGTAATAGGATTATTTCTAGCGCTATGTCGACCTCTTGGTGCTTTTAGATATCTATATATGTGATAAATATATCACGTTCTTTATTTTGATATCCAAGCACACGACAAGTCAGCAATAGAGAAACAAGAACTCAAAAATTGCAACGAGAGGAAGAGTGATTATATATCGTACGATGGACAAGCGAGAATACACTAGAAAGAAAGTCGTCGAAGCTGCACGAAAAATACATCAGATGTGTCAAATCGAGTGACATAAGGAAAGAGGATAGAAAAAATGAGTCTATGCATAGCAAGAAAGATGAATAAGGACATAATAAATAATAGTATTGCACCACTAAAAAGGTTAGGTTCATCATCTGTCATAGCAGGCAGATGATGATAGTACTATAAGAGACATACACAAGTAATTTTCGAGTCGATCAGGACTATTGCCTAAATATAGATTTCCCATCCATAAATGGTTACATGGACGAACCAGAGCTCCGCGGGATAGTGAAAAAGTTGTCTCATTCCGTCCCACCTCCCACCACTTTTCGTCCCGTCCCATCCTGTCCCGCTTGTGAATTTTTTCCTAATCTGTCATGTCTCGCGACCCAACTGTCCCATCCTGTTTAGTTCCGCGGTTTTCTATTTCATATTACAAGTAAATTTTTTTCTAAAATATTCTCGTCTACCAAAAGATGTCTGTTTGTGAATCTCGGCAGATCCTATTTGATGATTTTTTTCGTAATTTTCAATGGTACTAGAGCTATCATGGAGGCATTCAGACTAACGGATAGTGCTATGCAGGTTATAGTTGAAAGGTTTTCTGCTCAAAGGAGTATTGGTGCTGGCCAAGGGGGAAAAGCGAGACTTCGTACTTCAATGTACTTTAATCGTACTTCAAATTCTTGTTGAAGTAGATGAGGTCTCGCTTTTTCCCTCTTGAACGACCGACATAGAAACTATGACTTCATCTTTCAGTCCTTACCTCTAACAGATAAAGTACTTCAGATCTGATCATGCATGATACGAATCGGCAACGATCAATTGATCCTACAGTGATACAACAGATCTATTCTGTGGAACCAGTACGACTACTTCCGAAAAAACATTTGATTATCTTGGTCGTTTAATAGGTCTTAGATTGTACAGTTATTTTTTCCTCTTGGATATAACCTAACTATGGGAACTGGAGGTGTGTTAAGAATAATGCTGATTGAGAAAAGAAATATTTTCGTCTAAAATTGCTTAATCTCTAGAATAAAACATGAGCAGTGATTGAATTCATTCAACCTTTGAATTCTGATGAAATCTTAGTTGTTTGATAGTTGAGAAAAATTCCATGATGTTTGTTGAAAATGAATTGTTCAAAAAGATTTCAAATGATATTTTCTAATATTAATTAACAATTCTCAAATTAATTACTAAAATCGCTGATTAAACATCGATTTTAAAACATGTTTTCTCGTGTTATACTCGCAAGAAAATCGAGTCTGATCGCCAATTTCTTTCCTATATCTTATTAATCAGGAATTAAAATTGATTTTTTTGAAAATCGACAAAATTGCCACGATCCTAGTGAGGATGGATAACAGTAACATCATTCATAAAACTTGAAAAGTATAACTTCGACATACAGCAAAAGGAATGTCTTATCATTCACTTCTACTGCAAACCATGAAAGCAACGTTTGTAAACGTCTCATTGTAATACAGCAAATAATGATTTCACAGCTGTTTTGTCTTAACTAGAACGAAAGCATTATGAATCTTTCTTATAATGTGAGTTTGACGAGATTGAAAGTGTAGATAAAAGTTAGTTATAGTCATCTGTTATCTATTTTTGCTAATTTATTTTTGAATCAGAGTATATCAGAATAATATCAATCGATGCTTATGTAAGAGGTTTTGTTTGATGAAAATTAGTGTAAAAATTCGAAAAGCTTTTGAATCAGACTGTTAATGAATTCAATGAGAGGACAAATTAAAAAGAGAAAAGGAAGATATTAATACCTTTTATTAATAGCTGTCACAAAACTGACAAGGCTTTATTCTAGTCTGATTTGGCAACAAGCCATTATGCATCAAGTGTAATTGAGTTTTTAGAAGAACATCACATTGATGTAGTGCCAAAAGGAAAGAGAATCCTCAAAATTGTTCTCAGGCACGTCCTACTGAAACAACTTGGTGGATTTTGGATGATAAAGTATACACTAATGTTTGAGAAGCAAAAACTATTAACCAGTTGAAAAACAAGAATAAGTCAAAAGCTGCAAGAAATCGATATGAAGTCTGTACGAATCATGTTTTCGCCCATCACAGAACAACTTCGAAAAATCGCTAATAAACGAACATATGCAGCTTGCTCAGGTTGATTTTTAGAACATCTCTATTTGTACATTCTTTTGATATTATTTGTCAAACAGTAAGGCATTTGCTAATAAAGATATAAGAAAAACAAATTTGTGCCAAGAATTTCGCGCCGTAGGTTAAATAAAACTATTGATTATACATTTTTTTTCAGATTCAAACTTTTTGGTTGGTTTAATAAGAATATAAAGTGCCATTTATTGGCGCTATTCGGTATGTATATGTGCAGATTTAGATCAGATGATGTAACTATTTCCATTGTAAACGAGATGATTTTATCAATGTGTGTCTAATGAAAGATAAAAGTCTCGTCAGGTATAAACATGAACTATTTGTTTTATCTCGTATTCCATTTATATGACAAATGGGGTAGTCGACTACAACGACTATCGAGAAATTGAGTGTTTTTGTAAAACCAAATAATCGTTCCTAAAATAAAGTACATAAACGATTTTCTCGAAAAAGATATTTACAGTCAACTGGAATCAGATGTTAAATGTCGAAGTAGAAAAGTTACATTTCGACTACTCAGCTGATTGAAATCGAAAAGAAATTAGAAAATAGACATTTGATGCATATCACTGATCATTTAGTGATCGATATGACTCATTCATTATTAGAGATCTGCACAGGGTCAATTTCGGAGTCATGTTCGGAGTCAAATAAATTTTTTGTCGAAAATTCGCTTTTAACATACAAATTTTTTTAACTAGCAGGTTTTGTTCTCTGATATTTACTGTAAAAGCTTATGCATTTTGGAGATTCCAATGACGTCTTATCAAGATGTATGAATATGAATCAGATTTGGAGTCAAATTTAACTTTGGTTTTTTTTCGACTGCAATTTTTTTACCATGTCCATAAGTCTTGATAGGATATAAGTGGAATCTTCAAAATGCATTAGTTTGTACAGTAAATGTCACAAAACAGAACCTACTAGTCAGACAAGTTCGTATGTTAAAAGCGAAGTTTCGGCAAAAAATTTAGTTGACTTCGAACACGACCCCGAAATTGACTCCGTACAGGTTTCTATTCGCTATCTATCATTAGTTATTATATATAAAATCAGTTGTTCAAACAAAGTGGCGGCTAATTTTTCTTGCTGCTTTTATTTTAATTATCGTTACAAAAACAAAGTTCACAAGCATTTGCGTTTTTGTCCGACTTTCTGTAAACAAACGGAAGCTCTTAGAAAAGATCGGAAAATGGATGGTAGGGATCGTATCTCAATATCTTCTGATTTTTCTTTCTCAAGATCATCGTGACACAAACTAGACTCTAAATGCCTTCGTCGAGATAGTAAAGTCTGGACGTTGGATGCTTTGCGCTGCATTAAATAAAATGGTTACGTAGAGTACTATTTTGTAAGAGATAGTCAATAATCCTAGAACTCATAGAAAGTTATTTTGATCAGTTTTTTTTAAAGAACAAGATGGTGTCTGCGGTACGTGCCCAACAAATCTTGTTCACAACCAAAGGTTTGAATAATACATCATGGTTATGTCATCGTATAACATCATCAGCACCAACACCAACTATAACTGAATTAACTCATCAACTTGCTATTGATGCTGCTAGTCCAATGAAAAAGTCCATAGCAGGTGCACCATATAAATCACTTCCAATTGGTATATTAAAAGAATCACATGTAAATGAAAAACGCGTTGCTCTTACACCTGCTGTTGTATCGACTCTAGTTAAAGAAGATTTTCATATATTTATTCTTTTTTTTTTAAATAAATTCGAAAAATTCATTGATAGGATTTACATTAAATGTGGAAGAAAATGCTGGTTTAGATGTATCGTTTCATAATGAAGATTATCATAATGCTGGAGCGAAAATTGTTTCACGAAATACAGCATATGCATCAAATATTATTCTTCAAGTTCGACAATCAAATCAAGAAGTTCGTTAAAGACAGCAATATCTCTCTTTTTCAATTCGAATATTTCTATTATAATATAGGATGTTAGTATCTTTTATGATAAACTAAGGGTGTGGATGTGATGAGAAGATCTACACCCATACTCCACACCCAAACTCTTAAAGGCAAAGGCTGATAATAGGCTGTGTCTCTGAGTATTATCATATAGTATATATGATCGAAATATGAGGTTTAACTATCGATCTATTAAGAAAAAATTGAAAAAAATTCTGTGTCTCGTTACTTTTGGACCGTCCTGTAGAAAGATGCAGAATATCAGCCTCTTTCTAATGATAAAAACCGCAGACCGATAGCACTTTCCATTAAAGACTTTTTCGAAAAACAACCATCCACCTTTTATTTTGAAATGGACGTTAGTAGCTTATCATAGAACTTCACCAATATCACAAAAAATTTGTTTTTCGACTTTAAGTTGAACAGATTCTTAATTGATGATAATTAATTCGTTTCATTGTTATTGAAGTTTAAAAGCTATTAGAAACAGACAAAACAAGAATGCTTTACTTCTCACATCATACGACATTGTTCAGTGATCTGCATACATCTACATCAGCATATCCATAGAAAATGATTTAATTTTTGCATATTAAACTTACATATCAGAAACAATTCGTTGTATACATGCCAAAAAAAGGAAATATAACAAAGTGCATCTGTAAAGCAATATGATTAAGAAAAAGTCGATTCACATAACATTCTATTGTTTATACTTTATAGAAATTATTCTTTCCGAAATTTATATTAATAAATTTTATTCAGACTTTAATGGTACTTGACATTAGGTCTTTTGACAATGAGCATGCCTTTCTTTTGAATATTACTTATAGAAGTTATTTTTCTCTTTAATATTGTCGCCATTATATTTATATTCTTTGATGCTTATTATCATATATTTGTACAGATAATATTTTATTAGATGCAATAAAAATAGAAAGATAATGCTTTGATAATTATTGTATAATTATATCATATATATATATATATATATATATATATATATATATGTATAAGGAAAAAATATGAAAATAAACGCATCAATGGAAAAAATAGATATAATCGGAATGTGATATTAAATAGGAAACAATGTAGTTCATCTACCAAGGTGCACATGGTGCATCTTCATCACGACAATATTGATAATAGGATTCCAATCGACCAGTTGCTGGTTCCATCAAAGCTGTATATACAGTCAACTAGAAAAAAAAGATCAAAATTTCAGACTAAAATGTTGACGAAAAAAAATCGTTTTAATTTACTTTATTGAGCATTGGTCGTGATGAAAAAACATTAAACAATGATTCGAAAGTAACTTGATTTTTTCCTTTAGTTTTCATACATTCGATACATGGTGTTATACGATCATCAAAAACAGGTGGTTTTTTCCAATTATCATAATTTGTTTCGATTAAAAACCATAAATTATCGTTACCTAATTGTTTAATATCATCTGCTTCATAACGTGAACGAGTAATAATAACACCCTATCAAGAAGAAAAATAAAGAGATCATGTCAATATTTTATTAAAGAAAAACAAAAACAGACGTTTTCTTACTTGTTTTGATTTTGGTCCAGCAAGAATATAATAACATGGAGCTGTAAGTTTAATTTTAGTTAAATATTCAACAGCTTGATTATAACTTTCTGATGTTGTTAACATATCACGCATAGCAAATGTAACAAATGATTGGTTACGATTAATATTAAATATCCATTCAATTAAGCCAATATAACCACCTTTAAAACCATAACGTTCATTCATTGATATACTAAAAATACCTGGCCTGACGCCTGTAATAACACCAATATAGCTAGAAAGAAAAAATTCGATTCATTATAAATCAAACAAATAATAATAATTACCCAGCAAAACTCGTTGTTTTAAAAAGAACTTGACCATGTTGAGTAAAATTTATTTGAGTAATCAATGGACGTAACTTTTCTGATAATGTCCATGTATTGTTTAACATATCCCAACTAAAATATATTGATACATAAATTCAAATTAATATATATATATATATATATATATATATATTCTTTTTTTCCTTACCCCAATAAAAGTCCAAAGTCAAGATTTCGTCCATGAAGAATATTACCATTTTGATCCTCTGCCACAATCGATGTACATAATGTAAAAATTTCATAGAAAATATTGTACAAAACAATTTCACCTAAAAAGAGACTATATAAGTTTTTTCATGAACATAATTTTGAAAAGTAGCAATGCTCATATTTATTGAATAATGTTTTTTTTTAATCTTTATAATACTAAAGTAACTTACCCAATGGTATTCCAGTTGTATGACTAATACCTTTCAATTCATCACCATATGGTGCTGGTAATGTATCAGCCATAGCTGGCTATCAAATATATTGGTAATAGAAATGAAAAATTCAAGAATATGAATATAAAATTTACCAATTTAGTATCGACAAGACTGACTAAAAATTGTAGTTCAGGTGATATAGAGAGAGCAAATTGTTTGATATAGTCAACCAAATCAATAATCTAATAAATAGTTTATAAACATTTTAATACAAAAAAGAAAAGATAAATATTTCCATACTGCAGGTTTGTAAATAGTTGCAATTTCTTTCCAACGTTCGACAGGTGGTAAATCTAAATTAACAACATGTGTTGGTACTATTCGATCTGATTTTGGTGGCCATTGATCATTTAAACATTGTTTACCAAACTTAATAAATAAAAGAAAATTCATTCAAAATTCATTTTCATTATACACATGTATACATACAATTTTTTGAATTGAAAAAATAACCAACAAAAATATAACAATACGATATGTCATCATCTGAAGACAAAAACGAAACAACTGTGTGTGTGTATGCGAAATTTTCAAACTGACACTAAGGAAAGAGATAAGATAAGTACAAACAAGAAGAACAAAACAAACATAACTAATAAAAACAAACATAGTGTAATAAGAAAAAGTCCAAAAAAAAATATTTTTTTTTAAGATAAAACATTTAAACGAGGGATATTTGTTGTTGATATTGATGAATTTTTATTTTCTGTTGTATCTAATAATTCATTTGTTTGTTCAATATTTTTATATTCTTCAATTAATTGATTAAGGTTTTCACGTGCCTGTTCAAAATCACCTAATTCCATATGATCTGTATAATGATGTACATGTGCTTTACGACGATAGAGTATTGTAAAACGTTCTTTTAATTCACTAAAAGTTTCTTTTATACATGTATGATTAGCTAATGTTAATAATGAATATGGTAAACCATTTGGTGGTACTATACATAAACCAACTTTCCATCCATCTTCATTCCATTTAACAAATTTCATATGTTTTAATTTAAGTAAATCAATATTACGACGTATATCAGACATTTGAATTGTTTTACTACGTAAAATCATTCCACAAGCTATATAAATACCATCGATTTGTGGTCGTACACGTAATGTTTGAAAATGTGGTGAAAGTGCATCACGAAATATTTGATTTATATTTCGTGGTATTGAAGAATTTGTTGTCATTTTAAATGGTGCTGGTATTTGTGAACTAATTAAATAATGCATTCGTGGATAAGGTACAAGATTCATTGGTATTTCACTTAAATCAACATTTAATGGTCCATCAAAACGTGATGATGATGTTAAATTTAATATTAAATTAGCAACAATTGTATTCATTGAATCAAATGGACATCGATCATTATCATTTTTTTTCGTTGAACTATCACAACGTGATACAATATCAATAAGTGAATCATTATCAACAGGTAAAACACAATCAGCATGTTCAGTTAATACACGTGTAGCAAGAACTGAATTATATGGTGATGTTATAACATCATCATCTTTCGATGGATAAATTGGTGTTACAATACGACATACTTTAGGATACATTTCATCTAATAAAGATAATATAAATGTACCAAGACCACTACCTGTACCACCACCCTATGAAAAAAAATTTCCATCATTTAAGATAATTCACAATCATTTTCTATATTCTTTTTAGATTATGAAGGTATCAATAATTCGATATTTGGGCAAAAAAGTTTTGTTTTGATATTATTTTTTGTCACGGATGGATAGACTCGTCAAGTTACCTGTATTATAAAATGTTATTTTTTTGACATATTCAAACGACGTTTTTCTCATGCAAATTAATCATTTGATTACCGACCAAGCATATATGCGTCACAAACTTTATCCTTGTGTGAAACTAATGTTATCGCTCATAATGCATGATTTTTTTTATATATATTCACATAAAAGTAAACGTCAGGCAGTAGGAGCTTTTATATCATCGTTTTGTTATAGCACACGCTAGAGTTACATCATACATAGTTATAACGAATTTTTTCAAAAAATGTTTTTTTTTCTTTCTTATGTCGGTAATCAAAGGGTTAAGAAAATTTGGTTAAAAAAAATCAGAAAAGTCTATAAAAATTGAAAAATGCCAAAAACATTAGTCTCGATATTTAATCGAAATTTTTGCTCAGTTTCCAATGAAACAAATATCATATTGAAAATCAGCAGAAAAATCTGCATTAAATAGTTTACTCAATACTTAAAACTAATTTTCGTCAAATTTCAGTCCTTAGGGAAAGTACAGCCCAGAGTATTCTAAAATAATAGTGAGAGGGTATAAGAACTGAAATTTAATAGAAATTGATTTGAGTATTGAGTAAACCATTCGTGATGCAGATTTTTGTGCTGATTCTGAATATAATATTTGTTTCATTTGGTATTGAAGTTCTGATAGTTAACATCTTTGAATACAAATCCATATTTATGGCGTTATGCGATCGTATTGAAAAAAAAGCGATTTTTTAACAATCAAAAAAAGCCTGCATAATTTTTTCCTAAATATATGAAGAGTAAAATAAATAAAAAAAAAAGAATCTGGATAAATATTGAGACTAATGTTTTTGGTGTATTTCAATTTTTATAGGCTCTTGTGATTTTTTTTAACTAATTTTCTTTAGTTTCATTATCAAACTATCATTTGAATATGTCAAAAATAACATTTTCTGAAGTAAATCGACGAGCTCTATCCACTCAAAACACAAAAACGAAAAAGTTTTCCTCAAAGTTCAAATTGTCGATATCTTAAAATCTATTCATACAATTATTTCTTATCACATACACTCACCCTATTAGCTCACCATGGAATGAATTAGCATAAAACTTTGTAATGAATCACATTGTTCAGCTTGTCGACGAATTTCATCACTTAAAATTTGTCGATATTTTTCTCCATAAAATCGATTTCCAACAGCCCAATTATTACCTGCTCCACTAACATCACGAATAAATTGTTCACCATCAAATAAATCTCTTAATGGACTTGCAAGTATTGAACGAAGTACACCTTCTTCCATATCAACAAGAACAGCTCGTGCTTTAAGTGTACGTATTGGTGATGGATATGATAAAGAAGTATTTTTATTTTCATCAACATTACGAAAAAATGCACTTAATGATGCATCATAAATGCATTTTTTTGGATCTGTTGAAGACATAAGTGAAGCATGTTCACGTAAAGCTAAATCCCAAAATCGACAACCAATTTGAGAACCACATTGACCAACTTGTACAATTATATTTTGTGCCATATTTACATATATATAAATAAAAAATAGAACATTCTCTTTCTTCTAAAATATGAAAAAAAAAACAAAATACTCAAATTATAACAATAAAAAATTGAACTTATGTAAGTAAATCCTCTAGGTGACATTGTTCCTTTTTTTTTTATTTATCTCAGTTTTATATTCCAGCGGGAGTGTATAATCAGTTTTAGTTATCTATGAATATTATAGCAAAGAAGTGAAAAAACAAAACAAAACAAAAAGAAAATATTTTATAAACTTGTTAAAAGCGAAAAAACAACAAAAGGAAATATACAAAACATTTTTCATGTATTAGTAGACGTAGTTATAGTTATAGGTGAAGTTATTGGACTTTTTTTAAGCTTAACATTTGGTTGCTGTCGTTGTAACATTTCTGCAACAGCATGTTGAAAAACTGATTGACTAAACAAAAATCCACTAATATGTCCATAAGGAATATATCGAACAAGACAACCAGGCCATACATCATTCATATCTGGTATACCGTCACGTAATACATATCCATCATTTGTACCAATAATAAACATTGCATTAGGTATATTTGATTCAACAGGACGCGAATAATTATCTAATGATGTAAATTCATCCATAATAAGACGCATCATATCTTTAACAGGATCAATAACACTTAAATTTGAACTTGTTGATTTTTTTCCTTCACGTAAATATTCATAAAATGTTTGATATGCTTTATTTTCATAGAATTGTTTTTTTAAAAGATCCCATGGAATTGTACGTGAAAGTACACCATCACAAAAAGCTGTTGAACTTGTTGACCAAGAAGCACATGATAACAGAGAAAGTGGACCAGGCCAACTAAAATAAAAATCATCAAAATTTCATATTTATTTGTCTTTTTTAGAAAAAAATTGATTTTTTTTATTTTACTTAGTAAATGCTAATGAAGCCATATGTCCACCGAGAGAAAAACCATGTAGAATAGCTGGTGTTAATTTCATTTTTTCACACCAATGAAGTAATGCAAGTGTTTCCAACATAAGTGCACCACCCATAACCAATAAATCTGTAACATAAAAAAGTGATGAACGTACTTGATGTTTTGGTTTTCTAACACCATAATAAGGATTTTCAAGAATAATTGAACCAATACGATATTGTTTTAAAAGTGGATGTGCAGTAAGAAGTCGTCGTCGATTAAAACCTTGATCACCTGTTCCAGCATAACAAATATTTATTGGAATTGAATCCATACCAACACGATGATCATGTGGTAAAACCAGTTGAAAATGAGCTGTAGCTACTTCAGTTGGAACCTGTTGTGATATACAGAAAAAAAGAAAAAAAAAACTTTAATCAATCAGATGAATAAATGGATCTATAGTAAATCTCACCATGTGTCCCATATGATTAGCAATTGGAGAACGAAATTTTGCATCTATATATTGTCGATCACCTTTTATTTCTTGTTTAACAATTTCCACCGTATTTTCTTGTATACTTTCAGCTGGTACAAGTTTTAAACATTCATTTCTTATCGCAACTTTCTCACGACGAGATACACAAAGTTCTTGTAAGTGTAATGGATTACCCCAACCACGTATAAATGATTTTGATATAACAAGACGACGAAAAAGTTTATCAAAATTAGTCATTTCAATCGTTTTATTATTAGAAATATCATCTAGAAAAGCTTTGATCGATTTAATAAGCTTCTTTTTTTTTAATAGAAAAAACAAAAAACAAATTTTTTTGTCAATAGTTATAAACATGCGAATATAAGCACGTTGGTTTTTTTTTTTTTTTTTCTAACAGATCTCACTGGTTTGATACAAAAAAACATTCTATTGACCAGAAGCTGAAATGTTTAATAACATTTGAGGACCATGTGGTAAATAAACGATATTTCGTGATTTTGATAATTGAGTAGCAATATCTTCAGCTGCTTCGATACGTCGAAGTTCAATTAAACCTAAATTGAAATAATAAAAACAAAAAATAAGAGAAAAAAGAAAAAACAAAGAAAAATACTAACCATCACCAGCTTCACCTAATGCTTTACCAATTAAATCAGCAGCACGAGCATCACCTTCAGCAGCAATAACATTTGCTTGACGACTTTGTTCAGCCTATTGATGTTTTTTTTTTTTGAAATAAAAAAAATCAAATTATTTTGCAATTTTTTTCTATTTTAATTTACTTTTTCGACTAAAAATCGTTGTTTTTCTGCATC